TTAGGTCACAGCTCTCAGGCCTTACCACCACAGTGCACTCACCCATATTCCAGTTCTGTACGAATAAATAAATAAATCTTTAAAAAAAAAAAAAAAGTAAATGTGTCATCATATGTGTCATCATCACCCAAACCAAGATATAGAAAATCTCCAACACACTAAAAATGCTCTCTTTTGTCCCTACCGGACAATTTTGCAACCTACAGTTGATGTTATATTTCTATCAATATCAATATATCAACGTAAATACAGACCAGATTTTAGATCTTATCACAAATGGAACCATGTAATATTTACTCTTAAGTCTGGCTGCTTTTGTTCAGCAGAATGTTTTGGGGAGTCATTTATATTGTGTGTATCAACAAACATTCACATGCAAATACATAAGCCGTCTGTATAGACATATGGTTAGAATCTTTTATTAATACTTGAGATGAATTGATGGATTATATGGTAAATATACTTAACTGTATAAAACTACTAAAATGTGTTCTAAGATATTTATACTATTTTACACTCCCACCACCAACTGTATGATATGTCCAGATACACATTCATGCCAAGCCTTAGTAATATTAGTTTTTTTTTTTCAATTTAGATGTATATGTGGTGTATTGTGGTTTAAAATTGGGTTTATCTAGTGACTCTTCTGAGGGATATGTTTTTAGTGTTAATTCGCCACTGTTATTTTTGTGAGGGCAAGTATATGTTCAAGTCTTTTACACACTTAGAAAATTAGTTTATTTTCAATGTATTGAGTTAAAAGAGTTCTTTTAATATCCTGGATGTAAATTTATGTTAAAAATGGATAGTGGATGATTCAATCTTTCTCTGGACATATTTTAATTGCATAATTTTAATAGCAAGAGTTTTATATTTTGCTGTTCAATTTATTAATCTGTTTTTTAGAGGTTAGTATTTTGTGTCCCCTGATTTCTTTTTACTTCTAAATTTTACATTCAGTTCTGTGATCTGATTTTCCTTTACTTTTGCATAAAGTAAGAAGCAAAGTTGTTATTTTTAACATTCATAACATCAGATTTTGAAAAGATTATCCTCTTTCTCTGTTATGCCCATGCTTACTTACCTCTTCTTCAGTAACATCAAAGTGCTATTCAAACAGTTTTACATTATCTTTACATATCTTATTTTTGTTAGAAGTTTCACTTTTTTCTTTTACCATTTTCTTTTCACTCATTGCATTTATTTTCTCTAAATAAATGCTTAAACTACTTCATGCTATCTTCAAAGTTTTTGCTCACTAATTGCATCATCCATGACACCTCTGAGCCTAATGTCACCTGGTAATGGATAAAAGATTTTTCTTAATTTTTTGGCATGTCTAATAACATTTGATTGTATGCTAGGAATTGTCCACATTACATTGTTGATGTCTATATTTTATTGTGTTCCTTCAAAGAGCATTGCTATTTTTTCTGAAAGTAATTTCTGTATGGATTACTCATTTGACACTTGTTTGTAGGATTTCTTAGGATTTAATCTAGAGATAATTATTTACATGGGCATTCTGGCATCTCTACTGAATTCTTCAAGGATTCATTGTTCCACTCTAGTTGAAATTTGAGACTATCTCAAACCAAAGGGAAATATAGTAATTGTTCAGTATAAAGTTCCTCAGTGATTGTTCTTTTCATAGTAATTCTTCCTTGCCCTGTAGAGTTTCCATATAAATTTAATAATCATCCAAAGACTTGAAGGCAAATTTGTACATTTTTTAGCCTTTTTTAAATATATATATTCTTGCTTTCTAGTGCTGTGATCAGTACTGTACTCTAGACAGATTCCAGTCACTTTAGTATCTTCATTCTTTGATTTCTGTCTTCTCTATCCAGTGAGGTACCCCATCTGTGTCTCCCTTGCCTAATAGTGCTCTGAATTATATTTCTGGATTGTATGAATTATTATGGCTTCTCCTCATGTGTTTCCTTATTTCATGATTACTTTTATGTTTATAAAACTTACTCTCTTTTAAAAAGTATTTATCTTTTAACTGAAGTAATATTAGGTCACAGCTCTCAGGCCTTACCACCACAGTGCACTCACCCATATTCCACCATGGACCATTGTTCTTTCTTCTCTCTTTGTACTTGCCTCACCCATCCCCATCCCACTTACCCTTCAATTCTGTAGACAGCTCTCTAGGATCAATTTTTAACTTGGCTTTATCTTACTAATTTAGTAACTTTATATTCCATGTATTAGTGACACCATCTTGTATTCATTTTTCAAGTTCCTTCCATGCTGCCACAAATGACATTCTCTTTTTTTTTTTTTAAGATTTATTTATTCATATAGAACTGGGGTACAGGCCAGAGATGCGGAGGGTGAGAGGATTCACCAGAGACGGAGTGGGGTACAGAACAGGCAGATCGACGAAGTACACTGCTGAGGGGAGCAGTGGGCAAGGCAGGAGAGGTCTATCTCGGCATGTGGATCTCCTCTGAGGCAGGCTGGAAACGTACTCATGCGGAAGTGGCTTAAGCTTCTCAGAGCTGTGCTTTAACCCGCTGCGCCACCAGGGAGGGCCGTTTTCTCTTATATTTTTAGATCACTGAGTAGTAGTCCATTGTGTGCATACACAATATCTTCTTGATCCACTCATCTGTTCTGTGGCATTTGGGTTGTTTCCACAGTTTATAGTAAGTAGTGCTGCAATAAATATGGAGAGCAAGTAACCTTTTGAACTAGTGTTTTTGAATTTTTTGGATAGATACCTAGGCGTGGAATTACTGGGGTTAATGTTTAATGTTGGGGTGAATGTGGATCACTTGCATGAAAATTTATTTACAACTTTAAGCTCATTTGCTGATACAAATTTATTTGAAAGATAAGCTGTACAAAATCATCAGAAATGAAATTGAGAATCTAATGGTATCTTTCTAAGATATATCAAAATAGTGAATAACCAGATTTAAAACAGATCCATGTTTAATGTTTTAGGACACTCCATACTTGCTTTCCATAGGGCTGGCCAGTTGCATTCCCACCAGCAGTGTAGGAGGGTTCCCTTTTCTCCAAATCCTCCTCAACACTTGTCCTTTCTTGTCTCTTCGATATCGGCCATTCTTGCAGGTGTGAGATGGTATCTCATTGCAGTATTGATTTGCATTTCTCTAATAGTAAGTAGTAGTGTACACTTTTTCACATGTCTGCCGACCCTTTGAATGTCTTCATTTGTTTCCTTTCTCTTAGGGATTGGTCTTGTATTGTGAATTGTCCAGTGTCTGAGAACAATGGTGATTTCATATACTTTATAGTTTTCTAATTGTTTCTGGTAGGTAGTCTTTTCAATAGTAGTTAATGCACCATGCCCAGAAGCAAAGCAAATATATTTCTTAGAAGCATAATTGAGACAATTATTTTACCTCAACAGGGACATGGTGCTTAACAGCTCCAAGCTAAGTTTACATGTGATTTATTACCTTTGAGAGCACTAGTCAAAGCATGGCATAAGTGGAGTGTGGAGAACTATTTCCCAAGAAGCAGTTGCTTACGTCCTACCTTTATGATTTTTGCTGTGGATCGCTTGCATGAAAATTTATTTACAACTTTAAGCTGATTTGCTGATACAAATTTATTTGAAAGGTAAGCTGTACAAAATGATCACAAATGAAATTGAGAATCTAATTGTATCTTTCTAAGATATATCAAACTAGCGAATAACTAGATTTTAAAATTTGTTAATGAAGCTTGTTACTGAACAATACATAACAATGTAGGTTTCATTTGGGCATCATTATAAATCAACAACTATATACTACATGAAGTTCGACACTAAATGCCCAAGTCTATCCTTCATCCATTATACAATTGTCTCCTTTTATCTGTTAGTGCCTTGCCTTGCTTCCCCTTCCCTTCTGGTCACTTTTAGTTCTACCTTATCATCTGAACATTTATTTGTATTTTATTTAGGTCATTTGTTTGCTTAGTTTTTTTTTTTCTTTTTAAAGATTTATTTATTTGTGCATACAGAACTGGGGTACAGGCCAGAGGCTCAGGGGCGGCAAGAGGCTTCACCAGAGACAGAGTGGGGAGCAGAACAGGCAGATTGACGAAGTACACTGCTGAGGGGAGCAGCAGGCGGGTCAGGAGAGGTCTGCCACGCCATGTGGTCACCTGTGGGGCAGGTGGGAATCGAGCTCATGTGGAAGTGGCTTTAGCTTCTTAGTGCTGCGCTTTAACCCGCTGCGCCACCAGGGAGGGCCTGTTTGCTTAGTTTTTACATGCTACATATGAGTAAATCATACTGTATCTGACTTCTTTCTCAAGTTGTAAATGGCAGGATTTCACCTTTTTTATGTGACTGAGCAATTTTCCATTGTATCTATACCAGATCGTCTTTTTCTCGTTTGTTTATTTTTGCATACAAAACTGGG